TTTAGGGCTTCGGGCTTAGGGTTTTTCGGTTTAGGGGTTGTTTTATTTATTTTATGACTCCGTTTAACTTGAACTGGCAGTTTCATCATGTTCAGGCTTTTCGGGGTCTGTTCATGTCGGGGCCTACATAATCTAACCAATACATTTTGGGGGGTTCTTTATGACATTTATAGCATAATGAGCCCCAAAGCCAAATTCTAATTAGTCGGGCCCCTGATATTAGAGTTTGGACTCAGACCTTGGTACGTTCCCTTATCCTAGAGGCTCCATAAATACTACTATTGCGGAAATAGGCCCTTTAAACCATTAGAAGGATGGCACGAGGGACGAAGTAAAAGGATCGGGGGTCTAGTATTTTCTGACAGGTCCTCAATATAAAAAGTAAAGAGACTTAAAGACAGCCCCAAAGCTGAGAACAGAACCTTTTTAGATTCAAACAAGATGTTGCCAAGGACTCCTTTCAACGGTACGTCCTCACTGACCGGTCCGCTTGGGAGGACGCCGAAGTCAAGACAACATACCTCTAATCCCTGAGGATCTTCAGCACAAATCTTGCATTACCCATCGGTTTAGGGTTTAGGGTTTAGGGTTTAGGGTCCATAATCAGGAATATACCCTATACTTCCCATAGTTTAAAATTTAAAAGTTTAGGGTCCTTAAGGTAATGCGGGATGTATGTATCATCAAGAGTATGGGGGTTACTTTCCCAAATCATCCTAGTGATTCCGGACATAGAGCCCCTGCAGCCTTCTAGTCAGGTACTTAGCTACTTAGGGTTTAGGGTTTAGGGTTTAGGGATTCCATAATAGTACCTAAACTCTAAACCCAAAACCCTAAACCGCTATTCAGGTACTTATGACCCCCTAAACCCTAAACCCTAAACCCTAGACCCTAGACCCTAAACCACTATTCAGGCACTTATAGGACCCTTTGGGAGTTCGCGCCCCTCCGTCTCGAACCGCGAAAGCCTGTGGTTTAGATTTGTAACCTAGAGGCTCCTTATATGCTACTATTATCCCAAAAGACCATCCATGTTATGGTCTTGGAGGCCTGATTCCACAATGGTAGTATATATGGAGCCTCTGGGTAAGGCTTTGGGTACCCCGAGAAGAAGAAGTTTAGGCTCGGGCGTTGGCATTCGTTGCTGAAGCTTTGTGCTAGGTTTTAGGGGTTTAGGAGTTTAGGGTTTAGGACTCGGTCTTCTCGCTGTTTTTCCGAGTTTAGTTGCTGGCGCAGCAGTGTCAGGACGTCCAGGCATGCGTGGGCAAGATCGACAGTGCAGGTGCAACAGGGACTACAGGATGTTAGAGCCATGACAGTCACGACCTTAGCCTTCAAAAATTTACTTGTTTGTAGGGCCCCCCCCATAAACTCGACATTCCTAAACCCTAAACCCTAAACCCTGCCCCCAAAAAAACTTCAACCCAAAACCTGCAAAAAGGGTAGGTTCTTGTAGTTTAGGGCAGCGGTTCATGGTGTGGTGTGGTCGGATTGTACATCCTAGACCCTGCTAGGATCCTTGCCGGGTGACGGTTTAGGATGCAGGGTTTAGGGTTTAGGGGTTTACTTAATTACCAGAAGTATTCCTGATTCCTTAGGGTTCCTTACTATAACTATAAAGGAGCCCTAAACCTTATTCTAATTATTCATGCCCCAACATTACCAAGAATCCTCAGGGAACTGTACGGCAGAATTTAGTAGGGAGACTTGAGGATTCCCAGGATACATGCCCTAAACCCAACACTGCCCTACACCTCTAAACCCTGTGTAATGTATGCCCCTAGACCCGAAACCCTACAGCCCTCAACCCTATCCCCAAAAGTCCCCTAAACCCTATCCCCTAAACCCCTAAACTCCTTAAGCCCTAAACCCAAACCCCTAAACACCATCCCCTAAACCCTTGAACCCTAGACCCTAGAACTCTAAACCCTAAACCCCTTAAGCCTTAAACCCTATCCCCTCAACCCTTAAACCCCAAACCCCCCAAGCTCTGAGGCTAAAGCACCTCGGGTTTAGGGTTGAGGCTTTAGGGTTTAGGGTTTAGGATCCCATAACCCTAAACCGGAAACCCTGCACCCCCAAAACCCTAAACCCTAAACCCTAACCCTAAAACCCTAAAATCCTGAAACCCCGATCCCTGGACCCCAAAATTCAATTTTGGGGTTTGGGTTCGGGCTTAGGGTTCAGAGCCCCGAAACCGCACGTCTTTCCTTCCCCCTTCCCCCAAACCCTAAACCCCAAACCCTAAACCCAAAACCCTAAACGCCAAACCCTAAACCCTAAACCCTAAACCCCAAACCCTAACCCCCCCCCTCCCCTCCCAGGTGCCAGGGCAAACGACCCGGAAGAGGAGAAGCGATTAAGATCTGCACTCCAGGAGCGGGCTTCGGGTTTGGGGTTCAGGGTTTTAGGGTTGGGGGTTCAGGGTTAGGGATTTAGGGTTTAGGGTTCAGGGTTAGGATTTTCGGCTTTGGGGTTCAGGGTTTTAGGGTATTAGGGTTCAGGGCTTTAGGCTATTAGGGTTTTAGGGTTGAGGGTTTAGGGTGTAGGGTTTTTTGTTTAGGGTTTAGGGTTTTAGGGTTTAGGGTCTTCGGATTGAAGGTTTCGGGGTTTAGGGTCTTCGGATTAGCGATTGGGACTTGGGGTGCTAGGGGTTTAGGGGGATCAGGGATTTAGGGTTTAGGGTTTAGGGTTTAGGGTTTAGGGTTTAGGGTTTAGGGTTTAGGGGGATCAGGGGTTACGTAGGATGTTCGGATTTTAGGGTTGGGGGTTGAGGGATGAAGGTAGGTGGGGGCCTCTGAAAGCTTCCAGAGGAGACGGTTGGTTGGCTTGCCTTATCCCATGGGCCCTCTTAGGCTTTAGAGACTCCCATGGGCCCTCTTAGGGTTTAGGGTTTAGGGTTTAGGGTTCAGGGCGGTTTAGGGCTTAAGGCTTCGAGACTGCAGGGTGTGTGGGTTTAGTGGTTTTGGGCTTCTTGAGTTTAGGGCTTCGCAGGAGAAGGGTTCCGGTAGGGCTTATAATCAGAACCTAGAAAAAACTGTGGCAGTTGAAGGGAGGGCTTACATGGTTGCAGTTCCTGTTTGCCACCTTCAATGCTCGACCACCTGGTTCAGAATTCTCTAAGACTCCGGTGACCCAAATACCCAAAGCAAAGGATCCTTTAAGTACTTATATAGCAGAATGTATGCTTTTTTTTAGGAAAGGAGTTGCTAGTATGGTTTGGGCAAGTATCAGCGGCGCGAAACCCTAAACCCCTAATCCCCTAATCCCCTAAACCCCTAAACCCTGAACCCTAAACCCCCGTAGCAGAATCCACATCGGATAAAACTCTCAAGAACCCGTCCCAAAGCGGGTGCAGATCCAGAGCACTAGAAGCCTTCGGTCGCTATGCACTCCGAGCCAAAGACGAACAACGAAGACGAGGCTGCGTCCGGTCTGCAGAAGAACTTTATCGAGTCGGACTGTGCTCGCACCAGGAGTTACAGCTGCATGTCCCAGAGGGTCCTAAGTATTGTTATGGGGGACACTTCCCTAAATCATAATAGCAGTTCCTAGTATAGAAACCCCACATTCTACTATATAGGTACTTAGGACCCTGTGGGTGTGCGATCAGCACATCCCGGTAGCATTTTACTTCCCGAGCGGCTGCTCTACGCAGCAAGGGGCGCATGCGGCAGACCAGGCGCTCAAAGGACCCCCCAGGCCTGGCGCTACCGGAGTGAAAAGCGAGGTGTCTCACGTCTTTGAAGAGGCATTTGCAACCCATTTTTAGGGTTTAGGGTTTCGGGTATTATAATATTCTTCATCTAACATGCAGCCCGTTAATATGATTTAAGGAACTGGAACTCCGAAAGCCAAAACCCTAAGCCTAAACTCTAGACCCTTAAGCCCTAAAGCATAGACGCCCTAGCCCAAAACCTGCACCTAGGCCCGAAACCCTTAAACCCTAAACCTGAAACCCTGAATTTATAGAACCGGGAGTGGTGTTGCAGGTTCGAGGGCCATCTAGGGTTTAGGGTTTAAGGTTTCGGGTTAAGTTTAGGGCTCCAGGGTTTAGGGCTTAAGGTCTCGGGTTAAGTTTAGGACTTTGGGGTTCAGGTTTTAGGGTTTAAGGTTTCGGGTTAAGTTTATTTTTTTTAGGGCGTAGGGGTTTAGGGTTTAAGGTTTCGGGTTAAGTTTAGGGCGTAGGGTTTAGGGTTTAAGGTTTCGGGTTTAGGGTTGAATGTCATGATTCCGGAACAGTCTAGGTTTAGCAATTGGTCATGAGCCTGGGTCTCAGAACAGTTACCCCAAGCCCCAACCCCTGAAGCCCGAACACTTTTAAAATACCTTACACCCGTACGCCCCATAGCGTCCGATTTCGGCTTGAGGGTTACGAGTTTAGCGTTTAGGGTGTAGGTCTTATATACGGCTGAGGCGGTTTAGCGGCCCTGCACCTAAACTACGACGCCCCGAGCCCTAGATGCGCCAGAAGGAGCAGGGTGGATTCGATTCTGTCAACGCGCAGTTGTCGAACGCTTTCCTGGCCTGGCTGGAGAAGACAGGGCAAGAAATGCTACCAGCAGGGTATTTAGAATTTGGGGGTTTAGGATTTAGGGACTTAGGATTTTGATGTGCAGTTTCGGCTTTCTGCTCAACTTGAGATGGTCTTTCGGATTTTGGGCAGACGTCGCGTGTGGCTTTGAGTTCGTGATCTTCCGTTAATCAGAATCCACCCGGGTAGGTCTCTCGATTAGGATCCCTTTTTAGGGTCCTTTTTACAAGGGTGCCGTACTTTCTTGGGGACCTTGTAAGGGACCCTAATTTAGAGAACTGAACACATACCATGGAACCCTAACTCTGAACCCTAAACCCCAAACTCTAAACCCTAAGCCCTCAACCCTAAACCCTAAACCCTAAACCCTAAACCCTTATCCCTTAATCCCTAAAGCCCTAAGCCCTAACCCTTTAAGCCTTAAGCCCAGCTATGAGTGCAGGATCACGTGTTTCATGTTGCTGGGTTCTAGTTTAGGCTAGCGCATGGATTTCTGTCGTGCGTTTTTGCTCTTTTCGGGGTGGGGGCGGGATAATAACGTTCTTTGTTTCCGCATTGTTTCAGGATGGCGGGATAATAACGTTCTTTGTTTCAGCATCGTTTCAGGATCTACTTTGCTACTGCGTGCTCATGTCGGTGCTGGATGATGTATGATGTTTGCAGGGGGATGGTGGTGCTCTACTTTGCTACTCCGTGCTC